ATGACTAAAAACCAAACTCTACAGAGAGTGCATGTTGCATGCCAGGACCACAGGGCGCAGACGATAATGGCTCTAAAATCACTGATAGACCTAAGTCTTGGTTAATGTTTTTCAAGATTGATGAATACGTGTCAGGGTCGTAAGAAAGATTAACCTACTTTATTTAGTAAATTGCAGTAAGAAGGATCAAATGGGTCCTACGATAATGAACAAAAGCAAATAATGAAAGAAACGCTACTCTGTCAGTGTCTGTACTCATTTCCCACATACACCAAACTTAGGAACATAAAACGAATAGAAGCTGAAAATAAGTTGAAGATGATACTGCAGAACTGTGTTCTCGATGTCAAAGTGGGCGGCTCACATGGCCAAGTGTTCACTCATCAAGATGGTAACTACCAAGTGGGTAGCTCAGACGATCAAGTGTTCACTTATTAAGATGGTGACTTCTCAGGGTTGGCTTATAAGTTCAAGTGTTCACTAATCAAGATGGTGATTCCCCAGTGGGTGGCTGACAGGGTCAAGTGTTCACTCATCAAAATGGTGATTCCCCAGTGGGTGTCTTACAGGGTCAAGTGTTCACTAATCAAGTTGGTGATTCCCAAGTGGATGTCTCACAGGGTCAAGTGTTCACTAATCAAGTTGGTGATTCCCCAGTGGATGTCTCACAAGGTCAAGTGTTCATTCATCAAGATGGTGATTCCCCAGTGGGTGTCTTACAGGGTCAAGTGTTCACTAATCAAGTTGGTGATTCCCCAGTGGATGTCTCACAGGGTCAAGTGTTCACTAATCAAGTTGGTGATTCCCAAGTGGATGTCTCACAGGGTCCAGTGTTCACTCATCAAGATGGTGAGTCCCCAGTGGATGGCTCACAGGGTCCAGTGTTCACTCATCAAGATGGTGAGTCCCCAGTGGATGTCTCACAGGGTCCAGTGTTCACTAATCAACATGGTGAGTCCCCAGTGGATGTCTCACAGGGTCCAGTGTTCACTCATCAAGATGGTGAGTCCCCAGTGGATGGCTCACAGGGTCCAGTGTTCACTCATCAACATGGTGATTCCCCAGTGGATGTCTCACAGGGTCCAGTGTTCACTCATCAAGATGGTGAGTCCCCAGTGGATGTCTCACAGGGTCCAGTGTTCACTCATCAAGATGGTGATTCCCCAGTGGATGTCTCACAGGGTCAAGTGTTCACTTATCAAAATGGTGATTCCCCAGTGGATGTCTCACAGGGTCAAGTGTTCACTTATCAAAATGGTGATTCCCCAGTGGGTGTCTCACAGGGTCAAGTGTTCACTTATCAAATGGTGATTCCCCCAGTGGATGTCTCACAGGGTCCAGTGTTCACTCATCAAGATGGTGATTCCCCAGTGGATGTCTCACAGGGTCAAGTGTTCACTTATCAAAATGGTGATTCCCAGTGGGTGTCTCACAGGGGTCAAGTGTTCACTTATCAAAATGGTGATTCCCCAGTGGATGTCTCACAGGGTCAAGTGTTCACTTATCAAGATGGTGATTCCCCAGTGGGTGTCTCACAGGGTCAAGTGTTCACTTATCAAAATGGTGATTCCCCAGTGGATGTCTCACAGGGTCAAGTGTTCACTTATCAAAATGGTGATTCCCCAGTGGATGTCTCACAGGGTCAAGTGTTCACTTATCAAAATGGTGATTCCCCAGTGGATGTCTCACAGGGTCAAGTGTTCACTTATCAAAATGGTGATTCCCCAGTGGGTGTCTCACAGGGTCAAGTGTTCACTTATCAAAATGGTGATTCCCCAGTGGATTTCTCACAGGGTCAAGTGTTCACTTATCAAGATGGTGATTCCCCAGTGGGTGTCTCACAGGGTCAAGTGTTCACTTATCAAAATGGTGATTCCCCAGTGGATGTCTCACAGGGTCAAGTGTTCACTTATCAAAATGGTGATTCCCCAGTGGATGTCTCACAGGGTCAAGTGTTCACTTATCAAAATGGTGATTCCCCAGTGGGTGTCTCACAGGGTCAAGTGTTCACTAATCAAATGCAAATAGGAATTAAAGATATGCTCTGATATCAAAGGACTGAGCAAAGTTGTGTTGCCAAGCAACATATGCATGGTGAGTGAGTTGATTCTATTGACACCTTGAACAGTATTTCCATAGAAGAACATGCATAATTAGACATAAAAGCCACTTCCTCTTATTGGTCAGTGAAATACATCTCTCCAAGGCCACAACATCAATTAAGGATTTCTAAAATCAACTCTACAAAATTCAAATTCAAGAATATTTGCAAATATTTCCAGTAGATTTGCACGAAATGTCAGCCTCTGAGCGTGCCTAGGTAAATCTGTGGTCACATCACAAGAGAGAAAAGTTTTGGAATGTTTTCACACTGAGAATCTAACCAGCACATAAGTGAGAGACAACAAAGCTGACGTCATGACAACAGACCTACTCAATACTTATATAGAAGGTATATCCACACATGCTTGGCTACTGTCAACATACTGTCACTTTAAGTTATCAGGAAATATTGATCCATTTACTGAACACCATAAGCAAACATCCCCTACTCCTAATTTATGAAACATATCAATTGCCTTTAAAATATGTTGTGATTTATTAATGAATTAATTGATCTTAAATGAAAAAATAAAGTAATATCATAGTTGTGTTAAAATATGTAGTTACCAGTTGTCATAGTTTCTATACCAGACTACCTTTTAATATTGACCTTGACTTTTAATGATACCAATTTCCCTTATGGTATGAATGATTTCTCTAAGAACCTATATCCACCTCTATACTAGTGCACTCAATACTGACAGTCTTAGGACACTTAGGACATGTCTGGATTAGCAGAGTTACACAGTACTGAGTATATGCAGGTGTCTGTACACTAATGAGTCTGGACAAGACAATCCAGTGATTGTTATTAGCTGCAATAATCCACTTTGATGATACATCACCCAAGTCCAGTCAATTGTCTGGCGACATATTCAGCCCAGAATCCTCAATGGGGCAATACTTTATGAACTATATTGTTGACCTTTAGTGAGTGAATGAGGGTCTCTGGCCTTTGGTCGGAGTGAAATTGTACAAATATGGATAGAGCTAGATATACATAATTCATCATCACTGATTAAAATGGGCCCTAAGGTCTTCCTTGTGGCTGATGATCCATGACTTTCACAGGACAAGGCAAATATAATCAGTCATGGAAACCTCAATGGGTTAAGTTTATCATAAATTCCAAACACTTGTTTCTTTTAAAGATCATGTCTGTATTATTTCACTTCTAATAATTTTGCACACACACAAAAATTAAATAGTTTAAAATTCCAAATGAAGATATGTTGACATGGTATACAATCTAGACCATATGGGTCATAAAGAATGTTAGTTTTTAATGTGACAACATTGTGTCTGTGTTCGTGAGATGCACTGATGTAAAACCAAACTTGTGGAAGCAGTCTCTCCTTCTACAGGGAAGTCCACTAAAGGGGATCACAAACAATGGCAATGCTGTCCACATGAAAATGTGAATGAGTTTGCTTGTGTGTATGTGTGCTGGCTTTAGTTTTGTGTGTACCATTTTGTGTGTACCATTTTGTGTGTTTGCAATGGTCTAGGGAAGATTTTCTATTGTCTACAGATTTGCATTTTGGATTGGTTTGTTTGTTGTTTGAAGTTGAACTCAGCAACATTCCAGATACATGGTCGGAGTCTGTAAATAACTGAATCTGGACTAGACAATAAGTTGGCAGGAGGGAAAGTGTATGTCGGCTAGAAGGAACGTGTATGACGGCTAGAAGGAATGTGTGTGTCAGCTAGAAGGAATGTGTATGTTGGCTAGAACAAATGTGTATGTCAGCTAGAAGGAATGTGTATGTTGGCTAGAAGGAATGTGTATGTTGGCTAGAAGGAATGGTTATGTCAGCTGGAAGGAATGTGTATGTCGGAATGAGTATGTAGGCTAGAAGGAATGTGTATTTTGGCTAGAAGGAATCTGTATGTTGGCTAGAAGGGATGTGTATGTCAGCTAGAACGAATGTGTATGTTGGCTAGAGGGATTTGTATGTTGGCTAGAAGGAATTTGTATGTTGGTTAGAAGGGATTTGTATGTTGGCTAGAAGGAATTTGTATGTTGGTTAGAAGGAATCTGCATGTTGGCTAGAAGGGATGTGTATGTTGGTTAGAAGGGATTTGTATGTCGGCTAGAAGGAATTTGTATGTTGGTTAGAGGGAATTTGTATGTTGTTAGAAGGGATTTGTATGTTGGCTAGAAGGAATTTGTATGTTGGTTAGAAGGAATCTGCATGTTGTCTAGAAAGGATGTGTATGTTGGCTAGAGGGATTTGTATGTCGGCTAGAAGGAATTTGTATGTTGGTTAGAAGGGATTTGTATGTTGGCTAGAAGGAATTTGTATGTTGGTTAGAAGGAATCTGCATGTTGGCTAGTAGGGATTTGTATGTTGGCTAGAAGGAATTTGTATGTTGGTTAGAAGGGATTTGTATGTTGATTAGAAGGAATTTGTATGTCGGCTAGAAGGAATTTGTATGTTGGCTAGAAGGAATTTGTATGTTGGTTAGAAGGGATTTGTATGTTGGTAAGAAGGAATCTGTATGTTGGCTAGAAGGGATGTGTATGTTGGCTAGAAGGAATTTGTATGTTGATTAGAAGGAATTTGTATGTTGGCTAGAAGGAATTTGTATGTTGGTTAGAAGGAATCTGTATGTTGACTAGAAGGAATTTGTATGTCAGCTAGAAGGAATGTGTATGTCAGCTAGAAGGAATGTGTATGTCAGCTTAAGGGAATGTGTGTCAGCTAGAAGGAATGTGTATGTCGGCTAGAAGGAATGTGTATGTTGGCTAGAAGGAATGTGTATGTTGGCTACAGGGAATGTGTATGTTGACTTCAGGGAATGTGCATATCGGCAGGAGGGAATGTGTGTGTTGGCTACAAGGTGTGTGTTGTGTGTAACAATGTGTAAATTTGCCAGGGATGAAGGTCACTGACCTTTGAGGTAACAAGCTTGGCATGGAACTGATCCACATAATGGCGGAGAAAGATCAGGAACTCTGTCAGTCCAACTTTGTTCTGTAGGTGACGCAACAAAAAGAAACCCTGAAACAGAAGAGGTGTTTAGTCAGCTACACGGAGATGACAGTATTAACACAACCATGGTGTCCTGTGATATGGTGCATCTTCGAATAAGCATTACAATGCTATTTTTACTAAAGAATAAGTCCTAAATCTGTTAGAAGCAGGTGACATTTGATGGAAGTCAGTAAACCAAAGTTTTAGCATAGGCTTTTATTACTTAATGACTATCAACCCAGTATTTATAATCAGACACAGTGAACCACAGTAGCAGCACATCACAGGATAAGACACGGTGAACCACAGTAGCAGCACACACCAGAGGATAAGACACGGTGAACCACAGTAGCACACACCACAGGATAAGACACAGTCAACCACAGTAGCAGCACACCACAGGATAAGACACGGTGAACCACAGTAGTAGCACACCACAGGATAAGACACGGTCAACCACAGTAGCACACACCACAGGATAAGACACAGTCAACCACAGTAGCACACACCACAGGATAAGACACAGTCAACCACTGTAGCCCACACCACAGGATAAGACACAGTCAACCACAGTAGCACACACCACAGGATAAGACACAGTCAACCACAGTAGCCCACACCACAGGATAAGACACAGTCAACCACAGTAGCCCACACCCAGGATAAGACACAGTCAACCACAGTAGCCCACACCACAGGATAAGACACAGTCAACCACAGTAGCCCACACCACAGGATAAGACACACTCAACCACAGTAGCCCACACCACAGGATAAGACACAGTCAACCACAGTAGCCCACACCCAGGATAAGACACAGTCAACCACAGTAGCCCACACCACAGGATAAGACAGAAACAACCACAGTAACACACACCACAGGATAAGACACAGTGAACCACAGTAGCAGCACACACCACAGGATAAGACATGGTCAACCACAGTAGCAGCACACACCACAGGATAAGACACAGTGAACCACAGTAGCACAGACCACAGGATACGACATAGTGAAACACAATAGCACACCACAGGATAAGAGTAATAAGACACAGTCAACCACAGTAGCCCACACCACAGGATAAGACAGAAACAACCACAGTAACACACACGACAGGATAAGACACAGTGAACCACAGTAGCAGCACAAACCACAGGATAAGACACAGTGAACCACAGTAGCACAGACCACAGGATAAGACATAGTGAAACACAGTAGCACACACCACAGGTTATGACACGGTCAACCACAGAGGTCTGAAAATAATTGAGCCTGGACCAGACAATCCAGTGATCAATAGCATGAGCATCGATCTGCGCAATTGGGAACCGATGACATGTGTAAACCAAGCACACACCAGAGGATAAGACACAGTGAACCAGATGTCACCCGATGTTAGGAAAAACAGCAGCAGAAGCATGAAAGGATTTTGGAAACCATGACAACAACAACAGCAGCAGCAGTTATACAATGAAATAGAGAAACTGTACTTCAAACTCTCACAGTGAAGCTACACCAGTACAAAGAGTAATGGTAACATACATATAAAATACTATTGAAAAGCTCAAAGTGATCAAGTTCTATACGTTGCTGACATAATCAGATTTACAGGGATTCAAACCCACGTGCACAAGCTGATGTTCCACAACTCTGCACAGTGAACAGCCACATCTTGCACGACTGGGCCACCTCTGATATGTCAAGCAAGTGACATCACATCAACCACTACGATGTCAAGACTCCCATTCAGCCTGGCCAGACAACGTATTTGCATCTTTTATATTGACTAAACAATACTCAGGGGGCTGTGGGGTAGCCTTGTGGTTAATGTGTTCGTCACGTCAAAGATCCGGGTTCGATTTCCCACATGGGTACAATGTGTGAAGCCCATTTCTGGTGTTCCCTGCGTGATATTGCTGGAATATTGCTAAAAGGAGCATAAAATACTCACTCTCACTCACTCACTCACTCACTCACTCAACAATCCAACAGCTGAATCTTCTGACAGGTACTGATAGTAATTCGATCAGTCCCGCTGTTCATGGATCTAAATGAGTTGGATAAAACTGAGTGACACTTTCAGGTAGACCATTAGGATATTGGTTAAAAAAGGTTATGAGTGGGTGTGAGAACAATAGTTTTAATTACCTATAATCTGTGTGACGACAGTAAGGTTGATGACGATGTAAGAGATGAAATTTTGTTCTCATTACTCATGTTCCAGGACATTATTCACTTACAACTTCTGAAATGTTTATCAATATACATGCAAACAAGAAGACAAAGTCATCAACATCCTCCACAATGGTAAAATCCTCCTCATGAATATGTCAACTAGTTATTACCATGTCAAATGTTTAATATTCTTCACATTGATCTAACAAAAACATATACATGTAAACTACTCATATACTAGCATGCTTGTATCAACAACAGACTGTAGGGGTTTAATGTGCCTCAGTATTGTTGACAGTGGAAATAGTTTGGTACTGTTGATTGATGTCATTAGGTTCTTGATACCCACAAAGTGGAAGCAGAGTACTAAAGTACAGACAGACGGACAGAGTCCAAAATAATACCCCCTGCAAAACACTCTGCGGGGGGACAAAAATGGAAGAAAGATGTGGTTCATTTATACAAAGTGTGTCATTTTCTCACACTGGTGAAAGCATGAGACAAAATATTCAAGACTAAAATCTCAATTAATCAAATGATTGATTTTACTGGATAATACTGACTTGGCCATTATTAAAATTTAGTCTTTTGATCCTCAAAGAGCCTTCATCTTAGAAATAAGTAACAGTTTGAACCAGTTTTGTAATAACAAAACTGATATTAGTGTCCCAGTACTAGTCAGTACCTATCTCTGTGTATGTGTGCAGGGCCTACTATAAGCTCATGTTCAGGTTAAAGAGAACTGTGGATGTATGGAGTCGTCAGCAAATCTATCAACAAAACGCTGGAGGCATTTTTTTCAGAAATATTATTACATGTAATTTTCTCTTCAGCATTTGTTGAATGGATGCTCCCAGATTAATCCAATCAGAATCATTTATCAGTTCAAGATCTCATTTGACAAAGATTGAAACAGTTTGCTGACAAACCCAGCTCCCAGCTGTGACTGTAATCTCCCCTCATTACCAGAGACAGTCGATGTATGCTTCTCAAACTCCATTGGTCAATAAAGCCTCTAAAGTTAAAACATCTCAAATCCATATGCTCAAACGTTTCTGATTTTACAAAATCAATATATGAAAATCCTGCAACACAGAAAAGGTTGCTGAACGACAGTAATCCTTGGGCATGTAAGAGGGACATTAATCAGCAAATAGCACAGAATGGGGGACAAAACATGCTTGCATCCATACATTAGGTATCTCTGATAATCTGAAAACTGTCTTTTTCGTAATCGGGGTAATCGGCAAAGTTTTGTTTAGGCCTTAAAACTAATGGAACTATATTTGTATAGTCAGTAGATGGTTACTACTTCCACTCAGTTGACATGAACACTCATGCTCTGATCCTATGTATGAAACGTTATTCTCATTTACATCAGGACAAACTCCTGACAACTAGCTCTTTGAAACTAATGTCGCTAAATGCTGCATGTCTTTTTCCCAACTTCGATGTTGTTGCCATCTGTAGACATAAAGTGGTCGTGATACTTGAACCCTGCAGAAGCAGAATCTGTCCACTGTGTCATCTGTAGCATGACTTCACTTCCTTCTACTTTGACTGTAATACAATCATCTATCATCAGTGAAAGTCAAAATCTGTTTCTATATTTACCAAATGTCCAGTTTGATGTCAATTTAAATTCCTTATAAATATATCTGTGTGTGTGGACCATGCAATGACTTTCTTCCTGGGGAACACACAATCTTGTGTAAATACAGCAGATCAGTGACAAAACTGTGCTTTCTCCATGGCTACAGTTCATCTTGATAATACTACATTACCTTTATATTGAATCTTCAGCATGAACGAAATACTGATTCCTAAACACAAGCTCCAAACTGAATAATGAACACTAGCTCTATACTGAATCCCAAGTACTTGCTCCAGTCTGAATCCTAAACAATACCATTAAACTGAGTCTTAAACACTAGCTCGATACTGAATCCTTAGTACTTGTTCCAGTCTGAATCCTAAACAATACCATTACACTGAGTCTTAAACACTAGCTCGATACTGAATCCCAAGTACTTGCTCCAGTCAGAATCCTAAACAATACCATTACACTGAGTCTTAAACACTGGCTCGATACTGATTCCTTAGTACTTGTTCTATTCTGAATCCTTAAAACATCCTCCATATTGAATTATCAACACTTGCTCCTTACTGAAGCACTTGCTCCATAAAGAGTCCTTAAAGACTAACTGTGAACTGAATCAGAGACTTAACTGACTGAAGCATCGTAAAATGTCCACTCACCTTGAGGTAATGCACTTGCATGAAGGCCTTGTCTGGGTTCATCCCGTTCTTCACATACTGAACCTCCTCAGTGGCTGCTAGGAGTTGCTCCCCTTTGTTTGGCCTGTCATGCGTACAGTAATCAATTTAATTGTTTTCAGATCTCCTCATGAAGTGTGGGGATATATACAGTATATTTTATTACAGCAAGACTCAGGCCATATTCCATGTTATTCTATCAGAGAAGATTCAGGACACATTCCATGTTATTCTATCAGAGAAAAGTCAGGACATATTCCGTGTTATTCTATCAGAGAAGAGTCAGGCTATATTCCATGTTTCTCTATCAGAGAAGAGTCAGGACATATTCCATGTTATTCTATCAGAGAAGAGTCAGGACATATTCCATGTTATTCTATCAGAGAAGAGTCAGGACATATTCCATGTTATTCTATCAGAGAAGAATCAGGACATATTCCGTGTTATTCTATCAGAGAAGAGTCAGGCCATATTCCATGTTTCTCTATCAGAGAAGAGTCAGGCCATATTCCATGTTTCTCTATCAGAGAAGAGTCAGGCCATATTCCATGTTTCTCTATCAGAGAAGAGTCAGGACATATTCCATGTTATTCTATCAGAGAAGAGTCAGGCCATATTCCATGTTTCTCTATCAGAGAAGAGTCAGGCCATATTCCATGTTTCTCTATCAGAGAAGAGTCAGGCTATATTCCATGTTTCTCTATCAGAGAAGAGTCAGGCCATATTCCATGTTTCTCTATCAGAGAAGAGTCAGGCCATATTCCATGTTTCTCTATCAGAGAAGAGTCAGGACATATTCCATGTTATTCTATCAGAGAAGAGTCAGGCCATATTCCATGTTTCTCTATCAGAGAAGAGTCAGGCCATATTCCATGTTTCTCTATCAGAGAAGAGTCAGGACATATTCCATGTTATTCTATCAGAGAAGAATCAGGACATATTCCGTGTTATTCTATCAGAGAAGAGTCAGGCCATATTCCATGTTTCTCTATCAGAGAAGAGTCAGGACATATTCCATGTTATTCTATCAGAGAAGAGTCAGGACATATTCCATGTTATTCTATCAGAGAAGAGTCAGGCCATATTCCATGTTTCTCTATCAGAGAAGAGTCAGGCCATATTCCGTGTTATTCTATCAGAGAAGAGTCAGGCTATATTCCATGTTATTCTATCAGAGAAGAGTCAGGACATATTCCGTGTTATTCTATCAGAGAAGAGTCAGGACATATTCCGTGTTATTCTATCAGAGAAGAATCAGGACATATTCCGTGTTATTCTATCAGAGAAGAGTCAGGCTATATTCCATGTTATTCTATCAGAGAAGAGTCAGGACATATTCCGTGTTATTCTATCAGAGAAGAGTCAGGACATATTCCATGTTTCTCTATCAGAGAAGAGTCAGGACATATTCCATGTTATTCTATCAGAGAAGAGTCAGGACATATTCCGTGTTATTCTATCAGAGAAGAATCAGGACATATTCCGTGTTATTCTATCAGAGAAGAGTCAGGCTATATTCCATGTTATTCTATCAGAGAAGAATCAGGACATATTCCGTGTTATTCTATCAGAGAAGAGTCAGGCTATATTCCATGTTATTCTATCAGAGAAGAATCAGGACATATTCCGTGTTATTCTATCAGAGAAGAGTCAGGCTATATTCCATGTTATTCTATCAGAGAAGAGTCAGGCCATATTCCATGTTATTCTATCAGAGAAGAGTCAGGACATATTCCGTGTTATTCTATCAGAGAAGAGTAAGGCTATATTCCATGTTATTCTATCAGAGAAGAGTCAGGCTATATTCCATGTTATTCTATCAGAGAAGAGTCAGGCCATATTCCATGTTATTCTATCAGAGAAGAATCAGGACATATTCCGTGTTATTCTATCAGAGAAGAGTCAGGCTATATTCCATGTTTCTCTATCAGAGAAGAGTCAGGCTATATTCCATGTTTCTCTATCAGAGAAGAGTCAGGACATATTCCATGTTATTCTATCAGAGAAGAGTCAGGACATATTCCGTGTTATTCTATCAGAGAAGAGTCAGGCTATATTCCATGTTTCTCTATCAGAGAAGAGTCAGGACATATTCCGTGTTATTCTATCAGAGAAGAGTCAGGCTATATTCCATGTTTCTCTATCAGAGAAGAGTCAGGACATATTCCGTGTTATTCTATCAGAGAAGAGTCAGGACATATTCCATGTTATTCTATCAGAGAAGAGTCAGGACATATTCCATGTTATTCTATCAGAGAAGAGTCAGGACATATTCCGTGTTATTCTATCAGAGAAGAGTCAGGCTATATTCCATGTTATTCTATCAGAGAAGAGTCAGGACATATTCCATGTTATTCTATCAGAGAAGAGTCAGGCTATATTCCATGTTTCTCTATCAGAGAAGAGTCAGGACATATTCCGTGTTATTCTATCAGAGAAGAGTCAGGACATATTCCATGTTATTCTATCAGAGAAGAGTCAGGACATATTCCATGTTATTCTATCAGAGAAGAGTCAGGACATATTCCGTGTTATTCTATCAGAGAAGAGTCAGGCTATATTCCGTGTTATTCTATCAGAGAAGAGTCAGGCCATATTCCATGTTTCTCTATCAGAGAAGAGTCAGGACATATTCCATGTTATTCTATCAGAGAAGAGTCAGGACATATTCCATGTTATTCTATCAGAGAAGAGTCAGGACATATTCGTGTTATTCTATCAGAGAAGAGTCAGGCTATATTCCATGTTTCTCTATCAGAGAAGAGTCAGGACATATTCCGTGTTATTCTATCAGAGAAGAGTCAGGCTATATTCCATGTTTCTCTATCAGAGAAGAGTCAGGACATATTCCGTGTTATTCTATCAGAGAAGAGTCAGGACATATTCCATGTTATTCTATCAGAGAAGAGTCAGGACATATTCCATGTTATTCTATCAGAGAAGAGTCAGGACATATTCCGTGTTATTCTATCAGAGAAGAGTCAGGCTATATTCCATGTTTCTCTATCAGAGAAGAGTCAGGACATATTCCATGTTATTCTATCAGAGAAGAATCAGGACATATTCCGTGTTATTCTATCAGAGAAGAGTCAGGACATATTCCATGTTATTCTATCAGAGAAGAGTTAGGCTATATTCCATGTTATTCTATCAGAGAAGAGTCAGAATATATTCAATGTTATTCCATCAGAGAAGAGTCAGGCCATATTCCATGTTATTCTATCAGAGAAGAGTTAGGCTATATTCCATGTTATTCTATCAGAGAAGAGTCAGGCTATATTCCATGTTATTCCATCAGAGAAGAGTCAGGACATATTCCATGTTATTCTATCAGAGAAGAGTCAGGACATATTCCATGTTATTCTATCAGAGATGAGTCAGGACATATTCCATGTTATTCTTTCAGAGAAGAGTCAGGACATATTCCGTGTTATTCTATCAGAGAAGAGTAAGGCTATATTCCATGTTATTCTATCAGAGAAGAGTCAGGACACATTCCATGTTATTCTATCAGAGAAGAGTAAGGCTATATTCCATGTTATTCTATCAGAGAAGAGTCAGGACATATTCCATGTATTCTGTTACAGCAGAGGCAGGGCATAGTCGGTGTACTCTATCATAGATTAATCACGATATTTTCAATCTTTTTTATCACATGTCTGGATATACTCTAACCCAAAACCCACATGGATGTCCCAAACACTAAAACGAACACACAAAAGCACTTAGGTTCTGTTTTAAGCCACACCAATTTTCTCTTGTTTTTTTTTGTATTTTGACCTGTTAGGATTTTTTGGGCTAAAAGGAAGAGGCAGCTGCCTGTACTAATTCATCAAAGCTGTAGCCATGGAACACCAGTGTCTACAGATTCACAAATAGAGCTTGATAACTTGATATTTAACAGAAACATTCTGCAAATGCAGTACTTATACAGCATGAATTTAGGGCATTTGTTGTATAAAGACACATTACAGATTATGGAAGAGTTTTACTGCTTACCATTCTCTGCTATGTACCTCCATTTTTCGAAGCAAAAAATGTTGCTTTTATGTCAGAAAATGAATGAATAGGTTAAGTTGGTTAAAGTGTTTCAGTTATAACACAGTGTGTTAGCCTGATGTGGGAGTATTTCAGTTAAAACACAGCGTGTTAGCCTGATGTGGGAGTATTTCAGTTACAACACAGTGTGTTAGCCTGATGTGGGAGTATTTAAGTCAGAACACAGCGTGTTAGCCTGATGTGGGAGTATTTCAGTTATAACACAGGGTGTTAGCCTGATGTGGGAGTATTTCAGTTAAAACACAGCGTGTTAGCCTGATGTGGGAGTATTTCAGTTAAAACACAGCGTGTTAGCCTGATGTGGGAGTATTTCAGTTAAAACACAGCGTGTTAGCCTGATGTGGGAGTATTTCAGTTAAAACACAGCGTGTTAGCCTGATGTGGGAGTATTTCAGTTATAACACAGGGTGTTAGCCTGATGTGGGAGTATTTCAGTTAAAACACAGTGTGTTAGCCTGATGTGGGAGTATTTAAGTCAGAACACAGCGTGTTAGCCTGATGTGAGAGTATTTCAGTTAAAACACAGCGTGTTAGCCTGATGTGGGAGTATTTAAGTTAAAACACAGTGTGTTAGCCTGATGTGGGAGTATTTAAGTCAGAACACAGCGTGTTAGCCTGATGTGGGAGTATTTCAGTTATAACACAGGGTGTTAGCCTGATGTGGGAGTATTTCAGTTAAAACACAGCGTGTTAGCCTGATGTGGGAGTATTTCAGTTAAAACACAGCGTGTTAGCCTGATGTGGGAGTATTTCAGTTACAACACAGTGTGTTAGCCTGATGTGGGAGTATTTAAGTCAGAACACAGCGTGTTAGCCTGATGTGGGAGTATTTCAGTTAGAACACAGGGTGTTAGCCTGATGTGGGAGTATTTCAGTTAGAACACAGCGTGTTAGCCTGATGTGGGAGTATTTCAGTTAGAACACAGCGTGTTAGCCTGATGTGGGAGTATTTCAGTTACAACACAGTGTGTTAGCCTGATGTGGGAGTATTTAAGTCAGAACACAGCGTGTTAGCCTGATGTGGGAGTATTTCAGTTAGAACACAGTGTGTTAGCCTGATGTGGGAGTATTTCAGTTAGAACACAGCGTGTTAGCCTGATGTGGGAGTATTTAAGTCAGAACACAGTGTGTTAGCCTGATGTGGGAGTATTTCAGTTAAAACACAGCGTGTTAGCCTGATGTGGGAGTATTTCAGTTAGAACACAGTATGTAAGCCTGATGTGGGAGTATTTCAGTTACAACACAGTGTGTTAGCCTGATGTGGGAGTATTTAAATCAGAACACAGCGTGTTAGCCTGATGTGGGAGTATTTCAGTTACAACACAGGGTGTTAGCCTGATGTGGGAGTATTTCAGTTAGAACACAGCGTGTTAGCCTGATGTGGGAGTATTTAAGTCAGAACACAGCGTGTTAGCCTGATGTGGGAGTATTTCAGTTAAAACACAGCGTGTTAGCCTGATGTGGGAGTATTTCAGTTAGAACACAGCGTGTTAGCCTGATGTGGGAGTATTTCAGTTAGAACACAGCGTGTTAGCCTGATGTGGGAGTATTTCAGTTACAACACAGTGTGTTAGCCTGATGTGGGAGTATTTCAGTTATAACACAGGGTGTTAGCCTGATGTGGGAGTATTTCAGTTATAACACAGGGTGTTAGCCTGATGTGGGAGTATTTAAGTTAGAACACAGCGACTTAGCCTGATGTGGGTGTATTTAAGTTAGAACACAGCATGTAAGCCTGATGTGGGAGTATTTAAGTCAAAACACAGTGTGTTAGCCTGATGTGGGAGTATTTCAGTTATAACACAGGGTGTTAGCCTGATGTGGGAGTATTTCAGTTATAACACAGGGTGTTAGCCTGATGTGGGAGTATTTAAGTTAGAACACAGCGACTTAGCCTGATGTGGGTGTATTTAAGTTAGAACACAGCATGTAAGCCTGATGTGGGTGTATTTAAGTCAGAACACAGCGTGTTAGCCTGATGTGGGAGTATTTCAGTTATAACACAGGGTGTTAGCCTGATGTGGGAGTATTTAAGTTAGAACACAGCGACTTAGCCTGATGTGGGTGTATTTAAGTTAGAACACAGCATGTAAGCCTGATGTGGGAGTATTTAAGTCAAAACACAGTGTGTTAGCCTGATGTGGGAGTATTTCAGTTAGAACACAGGGTGTTAGCCTGATGTGGGAGTATTTCAGCTAGAACACAGTATGTTAGCCTGATGTGGGAGTATTTAAGTCAAAACACAGTGTGTTAGCCTGATGTGGGAGTATTTCAGTTAGAACACAGGGTGTTAGCCTGATGTGGGAGTATTTCAGTTAGAACACAGTATGTTAGCCTGATGTGGGAGTATTTAAGTCAAAACACAGTGTGTTAGCAAGATGTGGGAGTATTTCAGTTAGAACACAGTGTGTTAGCCTGATGTGGGAGTATTTCAGTTAGAACACAGTGTGTTAGCAAGATGTGGGAGTATTTCAGTTAGAACACAGTGTGTTAGCAAGATGTGGGAGTATTTCAGTTATAACACAGTGTGTTAGCCTGATGTGGGAGTATTTCAGTTAGAACACAGCTTGTCATTTTACTGTGGAAGTATTTCAGTTACAACACAATATGTCTTCATCATGTGGGAGTATTATCAGTTACAGCATGTTAGTTTCACTATGTTATGTGTAGGGTTTTACACCTCTGTTAGCAATATGTCGGCAATATCACGACAAGGGACACATATTGTACCCATGTGGGAAATCGAACCCAGGTCTTCGGTGTGACGCGCCAACGCTTTCACCACTAGGTTATCCAACCACCCCATGTTAGCCTCACGCTAAAATATTTGTTTATTACACTACACATCAGCTTGATGTCGGAGGTAAGCCCAAAGTGGCACTACTGTTAGATATCTACTGCTATGATACTCAGTACCACAGCACTGTCATGGAAAATCCAAAGACATATTCAGATCAAATCAATAAATTGAAAACAAACTAATACATTTCTGGGACACATGTAACAAGACATAACTCAGTATAGCACATCCCCTCAGACAACAGAGCCACAAGGGCCAACACATTAACTTGGCTCCTCACACTGAATGGGTCAGTTCCCTACATGAGTCTAATGTGTGAAGCCCCATTTTAGAATCATCTTCCTCCCTCCATCACACTCCCACCATCTCATTCACTCGGACCAATCTAAAGGGACTCTCTTACCTGAGCATCTGGAGGTCCTGTTCTGTGTTCTCAACCTCTGCCAAAAGAGTCTTCTGCTTCAGCAACACTCGTAGCTCCAGTCGATTCCGTATCTCAGCTTCACCCCACTGCAGAGAAATGATACACCTAATGACAAGCAATTTAACCAGTCAGGCACACCCTAGTATTGACCTTGAGACCAGGTCAGCTAACGTCTTACAATGTAAAGAGTCGGCCTGGCTTTGACCTTGAGACCAGGTGAACTAACGTCTTACAATGTAAAGAGTCGGGTACCTATTACACCCTAGCTTTGACCTTGAGACCAGGTGAGCTAATGTCTTACAATGTAAAGAGTCTGGTACCTAGCACACCCTGGTATAGGCCTTAAGACCAAGTTAGCTAATGATATCACAAAGTGTCGGTTACCTGGCACACCCTGGCATGAATGATATCCTCTAGGTATGTACAGAAGCCCTCTGTCAGCCACTCCTCCGTCCAATCTTGTGGCCCAATCAGAAGCCCGAACCATGAGTGGCAGATCTCATGGGCCACCCGGAAACACATGGAGTTGTCTCCCACCAGTACAGACTGGGACAGCACCAACAGGCTGGGACTAGAAAACAACACTGATATGTCGCACAGAAAGTTATGTATTAGTTAAATCATAAAAAACAACTGCAAAAACACACACAAAACTGAAGATATCAGAAACACTGCAGTTAGACTTATCATTCTAAGCTGGCTTCCACAGGAATGCTTGTGTGAGATCCAGTGGTATCGCTTTGGAGGGAGTGAGTATGGTTTTACGCTGCTTTTAGCAATATTCCAGCAATATCACAGCAGGGGACACCAGAAATGTTTATCTCTTTGGAAATATCCCTACAATAACAAGGTATTGGAATGTAGATCTTTGATATAGAGAATCTCACTGACCTGTGATGGCAAACCTATCGATACTCATTAGTAAAAGTATAAATCTCGGCTGTCAGTCAAGGTGTTTCATCATCAAGACTTGATGACACTTAGTGTTGACATATGGTATATCAACAGACAATTTAAGCTTTCCAATGTTTTCATTTGCATATTGATATGAAATCTAAATATCCAGATCAACAACATCATACAGTTACCTGATCAAGGTCATATAAACATGGTGAAAGTAGCACGAGGCACTGATGCCTCACAGGCCTGCCTAACATTAGATCCATCTTACATATATACGAATCATCAGCCACCAGTAAAAGAAAGTAGGGCAGATAGGGTCATGTTCCATTCTACTGACTGACTGAGTTTAGTTTTACGCCGCTATTAGCAATATTCCAGCAACATCACGGCGGGGGACACCAGAAATGGGCTTCACACATTGTACCCATGTGGGGAATCGAACCCGGGTCTTCGGCGTGACGAGCCAACGCTTTAACCATTAGGCTACCCCACCGCCCCTGTTCCATTCTAAGTGAGTGTGTGAAGTCATCTGTTCGATGTTGTGCCGATACAGTGATACTGAGGCAACATCCACACAAAGTAGCACCAGATGTGGAGTAGGTTCAGAGACGTACACTGTTTCCCTGTATAACCTCTTCCATGGCCAGGAGTGAGTGTAGAAGTGAAGAGTGAACAAACTCAGTGCTTCTTAATCATATAGGCTTCACCATGTTTCAGATAAAACTCAGATATCCTTTGAATATTTTTATTTTTAATTTCATATCCTGTGAAACAAAACAAAACTCAAAGAAGCTTTAGAATTTCATTATATCTTTTTAGGTACATATCATCTTGTCATGACATTTTATTTTATTTCAACTTCTTTAATCTTGTGGTTTTTTGAAAAACAGACTCTTTAAGATATTAAATCAAACTGAAATATATTACATTCCTCCACTTCATACCACAGGTAATTTGGTTACTGGCTTTTTGCTTCCCATGTAAAATACACTTGAACCACTGTGGTGACAACAACTCAATGTTTCAGGCTCAACCTCCCAGACAGATTGGAGAAAAAGTTAAACATTCATTAACAATCCTACATGCGTGGAGAGGAGACAGATGCACAATGTACCATGCCATAATCTATTCATGAAGAAATTGTATACATAATGCTGAAGACAATAAAGGAGAACAAGTGTTTGCCACTAACATGGTAATGTCCCCCGTCGCTAAAGAAGAATGAAATGTAACATATTTACCGGTACTAGTTTCTATCTTTTGGTCACATAGAAGAATACCTTTTGTGTCATGTAGTTTTTAGTCATGGTCACTTCTCAGAATCTTCTCCTAACTCTGAAGATATTTCAGGAATATAGTAGATTTTAATGTATAGATGCAGATGCACATATCCACTGTCAGCATCAGTGTGTATTAGGGCTGGGATGGGCCAAACTTTCCACCCCGTCTACCCCACCCCCTATTACCCTACCCTACCCTACCCTGATACTCGTTATGTTAATTCCTGACATCAAATTTGTAAGAATTGGTAATATATCCTTGGAGGGTGAACAAGACATATGACATATCCCATTTACATAAGTTTGAAAAGTGGTCAAACTGTCATGGTGACCTTGAGATGAGGTCAAAGTCATCCAAATTGACTGGTGTCTGCATAATCCCCCAATGTAGGCTGTCACCAAATTTGAAGACTTTGGGTACAACAGCGCATGAGATATTGTGTTAACACAAGTTCGAAAAGTGGCAAAGTGTCATTGTGACCTTCAAAATAAGGTCAAATTCACCCAAATCGATTGGTGTCTGTTTAATCCCCCAATGTAGGCTGTCACCAAATTTGAAGTACAACAGTGTATGAGATAATGGGTTTGAAAAGTGGTCAAACTATCGTGGTGACCTTGAAAATATGCGGGATTATTGCTAAGTGTGGCATTAAACAACAAACAAACAAAACCTACTATGACATAACAGATAAAAACCCACCTCGCCATGCCTAGACTGTCAAAGCAACACGGGACAACGAGGATGTCGAGCCTCTGGAAGGGGTGGGGACCAAGAATGGCATACACTTCTCTCAGGCACCGAGGGACATATACTGCCAGCTCCTGCTGAACTAAGGGCACCATGCACTCAGAGACAAACACACGGCATGGCACTTCCGGTCCCACAGCATAGTTAACAGGACATGTTGGGCCATGGCTGGTACATGCTGACTGACTGGAGAAAGCAGAACACATATGTATATGCATGTATTAATATCTCTACTCTGTACAATTTATATGATGATCATAGATGGCTAGATGCTGGTTTACTATTCCAGTATTCAAAAACCAAAGTTTTGGCAGTTGTTTTCCTCTCCAAATCAATTAAAGTCTTATACTTTATATTATATAGGAAATTCTCATGTAGAATATCAAAAGTTGATTAAAATATTTTACACCGATCCCAGAGAAGTCAGAGAAAACCCCTGTGAGCTCTCCTGGCAGAGGAGACATATAAAAGAACAGGGAGCTCTCCTATGAACAAAGACAAATATGGCAAAAGGGAGCTCTCTTGTGAGGGAAGACAAAGAAGACAACAGGGAGCTCTCTTGTGAATAAAGACAAAGATGGTAAAAGGGAGCTCTCATGTGTGGGAAGACAAAGAAGACAACAGGGAGCTCTCTTGTGAATAAAGACAAAGATGGTAAAAGGGAGCTCTCTTGTGTGGGAAGACAAAGAAGACAACAGGGAGCTCTCATGTGTAGGAAGACAAAGAAGACAACAGGGAGCTCTCTTGTGAATAAAGACAAAGATGGTAAAAGGGAGCTCTCTTGTGTGGGAAGACAAAGAAGACAACAGGGAGCTCTCATGGGTGGGAAGACAAAGAAGACAACAGGGAGCTCTCTTGTGAATAAAGACAAAGATGGTAAAAGGGAGCTCTCTTGTGAGGAAAGACAAAGAAGACAACAGGGAGCTCTCTTGTGAATAAAGACAAAGATGGTAAAAGTACCTTGACTTTTGCACATCTTGCTCCAGTACGACATCCACCTGTGTCCAAGTCCCAACAGCTATCGCTAGAGTGGAGGTGGGCATTGGCATTGTACTGTAATAATAGTAGGTCTTCCAACCTGAAACATCACACGTCAGTCATCTTATCTATGTGTTCTGTTGCCTAATGACATTGTTTCTGTGAGACACTGGTGTATTGTTCCTGTGAAACACTGGTGTATTGTTTCTGTGAGACACTGGAGCATGGTTTCTGTGAGACACTGGTGTATTGTTCCTGTGAAACACTGGTGTATTGTTTCTGTGAGACACTGGTGTATTGTTTCTGTGAGACACTGGTGTATTGTTTCTGTGAGACACTAGCTGTATTAATAATAAAACTATTACTTCTATAACATTGCCTTGTTGTTTGCACACAAAATTTGTTTATGTACAGATTCCTGGTTCACCTATAGTTAAATAGACACATAACACAAGGAACAGGTCATACAGTGATCAAAGTCAAATCTACCTCCAGAATATAGTCCCAGTTGACAATACCAAAAGCCCTACAGTTGACATTACCAAAAGCCATACATCCCCGCTAGAACATTATGATCCAAGTTTAAGTCACTGCTCGTGATCCCTCCAGTTAGAACGTCCGGTTACGGGAAGAGAAACTTCAAGTATGCTGCCGCAAAGACATGGAACGAACTGCCTGAATGTTTGAAAAACTGTTCAAATCTACATGACTTCAAACGAAATTACAAAACTCATCTCTTCAGAATGTCGTATCCAGATGACTAGTTTCATCTCAAGTGACTATGATTTTAAATCTGTGCGCTTTGAGCATTTACCGTGAATGGAAATAACGTGGTACAAATGGACTATAATAATAATAATAATACTGACATACCCTGGGACAGTGATAATGTATGGGACTCACCCTAGGAGACTGATGATGTATGGGACTCACCCTGGGACACTGATGGTATATGGGACTCACCCTGGGATACTGATGATGTATTGGACTCACCCTGGGATGGGAATCACCCTGGGGTATACTGATGGTATATGGGACTCACCCTGGGATACCGAAGGTGTAAGGGACTCACCCTGAGATCCTGATGGTGTAAGGGACTCACCCTGAGATACTGATGGTGTATGGGACCCACCCTGGGATAATGAAGGTGTAAGGGACTCACCCTGGGATACTGAAGGTGTAAGGGACCCACCCTGGGCTACTGATGATGTATGGGACTCACTCTTGGATACTGGAGGTGTAAGGGACTCACCCTGGGATACTGAAGGTGTAAGGGACTCACCCTGGGATACTGAAGGTGTAAGGGACCCACCCTGAGATACTGATGGTGTATGGGACTCACCCTGGGATACTGAAGGTGTAAGGGACTCACCCTGGGATACTGAAGGTGTAAGGGACTCACCCTGGGATACTGAAGGTGTAAGGGACCCACCCTGAGATACTGGAGGTGTAAGGGACTCACCCTGGGATACTGAAGGTGTAAGGGACTCACCCTGGGATACTGAAGGTGCAAGGGACCCACCCTGAGATACTGATGGTGTATGGGACTCACCCTGGGATACTGGAGGTGTAAGGGACTCACCCTGGGATACTGAAGGTGTAAGGGACTCACCCTGGGATACTGAAGGTGTAAGGGACCCACCCTGAGATACTGATGGTGTATGGGACTCACCCTGGGATACTGAAGGTGTAAGGGACCCACCCTGAGATACTGATGGTGTATGGGACTCACCCTGGGATACTGATGATGTATGGGACCCACCCTGAGATACTGATGGTGTATGGGACTCACCCTGAGATACTGATGATGTATGGGACCCACCATGGGATACTGATGATGTATGGGACTCACCCTGAGATACTGATGATGTATGGGACTCACCATGGGATACTGATGGTGTATGGGACTCACCCTGGGGTATACTGATGATGTATGGGACTCACCCTGAGATACTGATGATGTATGGGACTCACCATGGGATACTGATGGTGTATGGGACTCACCATGGGATACTGATGGTGTATGGGACTCACCCTGAGATACTGATGATGTATGGGACTCACCCTGAGATACTGATGATGTATGGGACTCACCATGGGATACTGATGAGTATGGGACCCACCCTGAGATACTGATGATGTATGGGACTCACCATGGGATACTGATGATGTATGGGACTCACCCTGAGATACTGATGATGTATGGGACTCACCATGGGATACTGATGGTGTATGGGACTCACCATGGGATACTGATGGTGTATGGGACTCACCATGGGATATTGATGATGTATGGGACTCACCATGGGATACTGATGGTGTATGGGACTCACCATGGGATACTGATGGTGTATGGGACTCACCATGGGATACTGATGATGTATGGGACTCACCATGGGATACTGATGGTGTATGGGACTCACCATGGGATACTGATGAGTATGGGACTCACCCTGAGATACCGATGGTGTATGGGACTCACCATGGGATACTGATGGTGTATGGGACTCACCATGGGATACTGATGATGTATGGGACTCACCATGGGATACTGATGATGTATGGGACTCACCATGGGATACTGATGGTGTATGGGACTCACCATGGGATACTGATGGTGTATGGGACTCACCATGGGATACTGATGAGTATGGGACCCACCCTGAGATACTGATGATGTATGGGACTCACCCTGAGATACTGATGATGTATGGGACTCACCCTGGGGTATACTGATGATGTATGGGACTCACCCTGAGATACTGATGATGTATGGGACTCACCATGGGATACTGATGATGTATGGGACTCACCATGGGATACTGATGAGTATGGGACCCACCCTGAGATACTGATGGTGTATGGGACTCACCCTGGGATACTGATGGTGTATGGGACTCACCATGGGATACTGATGAGTATGGGACCCACCCTGAGATACTGATGATGTATGGGACTCACCCTGAGATACTGATGATGTATGGGACTCACCCTGGGGTATACTGATGATGTATGGGACTCACCCTGAGATACTGATGATGAATGGGACTCACCATGGGATACTGATGATGTATGGGACTCACCATGGGATACTGATGAGTATGGGACCCACCCTGAGATACTGATGGTGTATGGGACTCACCCTGGGGTATACTGATGATGTATGGGACTCACCCTGAGATACTGATGGTGTATGGGACTCACCCTGGGGTATACTGATGATGTATGGGACTCACCCTGAGATACTGATGGTGTATGGGACTCACCATGGGATACTGATGATGTATGGGACTCACCATGGGATACTGATGGTGTAAGGGACTCACTCTGGGATACTGAAGGTGTAAGGGACTCACCCTGGGATACTGAAGGTGTAAGGGACCCACCCTGAGATACTGGAGGTGTAAGGGACTCACCCTGGGATATTGAAGGTGTAAGGGACTCACCCTGGGATACTGAAGGTGTAAGGGACCCACCCTGAGATACTGATGGTGTATGGGACTCACCCTGAGATACTGATGGTGTATGGGACTCACCATGGGATACTGATGATGTATGGGACTCACCATGGGATACTGATGGTGTAAGGGACTCACCATGGGATACTGATGGTGTATGGGACTCACCATGGGATACTGATGGTGTAAGGGACTCACCCTGAGATCCTGATGGTGTATGGGACTCACCATGGGATACTGATGGTGTATGGGACTCACCATGGGATACTGATGGTGTATGGGACTCACCATGGGATACTGATGGTGTAAGGGACTCACCCTGAGATCCTGATGGTGTATGGGACTCACCATGGGATACTGATGGTGTATGGGACTCACCATGGGATACTGATGATGTATGGGACCCACCCTGGGATACTGGAGGTGTAAGGGACTCACCCTGGGATACTGAAGGTGTAAGGGACTCACCCTGGGATACTGATGGTGTACAGGACTTGTCTCCAGTCATCAGCACAGTCAGTCCCTCCTTGACTGTGACACAAGCTTGCCAGGTGGACATGGCAGTCGGGGCGTCCTGACTGGGGAACCAGGAGCGGTTGTTCAGCCAGTGACCAACAGTGAACATACACTCCCTGGAAACAGTCCAATATGTCCTGATGTTTAATACTACTACAGCTTGCTAAGTCTACAATGGATCAAAAGAATTATCTGGTTATTTTACTGTGGGGACATGTATATGTTAAAAATTATTTGATGCCATTGAAGACAGAAATATTAAAATTTTTATCAGCTGTTTACCAGGTCGTAAAAAGGGGGAGTGCTGCAATGAGAGTTATTTTAAACAAATTTAACATGTTTGTTTTGGGACTGTCTTGACCAGTGTCATTAAATATTACAATTAGAATATTAGGGAATAAGAGCTAAGGAGACAGCAATATAAACTTTACATCAAATGGATCAACCAATCAATTTTCCTGTCAATAAGAAAAAGGAAACAGCAGATTTGTGTACAGCAGTTGTTGTAGTTCTTATGTCCCTTTGTTTTCAGTCCTCCAACTGCTGGGCAGGAGGTGTCCAAAAGTTCTGAGACCATCTACGAAGGATGTACACCAGTGAACACTAAATAAGCTTTCATTACAATCCAAGCTTAGGACCAACTACACTACAGACATCATATATCTGCAGGTGCTCACATCAAGCATCTCCAACTGGAGTAAGTGAGTGCTTTTATCAATATTCCAGCAATATCATAGTGGGGGACACCAGAAATGAGCTTCACACATTGTACCCATATGGGGAATCAAAACTGGATCTTCGGTGTGACAAGCTTTAACCACTGGGCTACCCCACTGCCCCTCTCCAACTGGAAGTGCTAGCTACAACAACCATCCAGGTGGACATGGTTTCAACTTCAGAAGATGAAGCTCCTTCCTTTGCCAGTGCTGAGGGGTGGGCAGCAAGTTGAAGAGGGGAACAGAGAGTCGAAACATGGGCTAAGGAGGACCTTCCATCAAAAAGTCTGTTCCATCAGCAGGCCAAGTGATGTCATCGGTTTGTGGGTTCATGGGTTTACAACCGGTTAAAAGGTCAGACATCAAGGCCAATATGATGCTTAGCTGCTTAGGCAATGATCAATGCAGTTTTTCATAGCTAGCCTCAGAACTTTCCAGCCAACACAGGCATATATGTCAATGGTTGAAGTCATGACAGATCATAGATTGCATTATTCATGTTAGTACTATAATAGTAGGCTATTTTAACCTTTGCTGAATCATAAAAGAATAACATATTTTTCCAAAAACCTGCAAACACGTTACAAAAGACACATTAGTTGAAGGCAAGATCACTGACACCGTCACCAAGCCTGCACTGCCTACCTTCCATCTTGATCCAGAGACCACTTCAGTGATGGCCCTCCTTCTGTACTGTAGTGTATCCTCACGACTCTTGTCACTCCGTTGTTTGTGTATATTTGACCCCCGTCACATACATGATGTCCAGCATTCACTTTGTTTCCTCCCCATGTTCTTTTGCAAACTAGATCCCCTGGTGCCCCTCCATCTCCACCAGACTCTAGTGAAGCACACTTCATGTCAGCATCACTGTCTGTAGGCTGTAGCTCACCTTCACTAATGACATCTCCTTGCAGATGGTGAAGCCTGCTCTCACCAGGCCCTGTCCGAGACTGACAATCTTCATCCATGTCTCCTCCTCCGCCCCATAGTCGGATGCTCTGTTTACTGACACTGATTTGCAACGGTCTGGTTTTGGATTGCATGTAACACTGCATATAAATACCAGATGCACTTTCTACATCTCCTCGTTTGGCGAAGAACAGCTTTCTTTCCAGATTAGGTGACAGTATCAGCTCCTCTGCACAGGTCACATCAAGGCTATAAGCATCTAATACCATATTGACTGCATCCTGGCTAGGACTAGGAATATTTAGTGATGAATTTTTAGTTTCTGTTTCAGTTGAAGCAGAAACAGGTTGAAGAACATTCTGATCTGAACACTGAGCTAATGTACTTCTACTGTGTACGCTTGATGAAGGCTGATCAACAACACAATCATCTTTATGTATGTTCATAGTCTTTGAGCAATTTTCAGTTTCTTTACAAACACACTCATGTTGACACAGTTCATTTGGTGCAGGATCATGTCCAGATGATGGGCTTGGGTCAGTTTTTGCCTGAAGAAGTTGGGAATGGCTTTCACAGCTAGTTTCCACAGCCTTTAGTTCAGTATCGGTTTGTAATACAGTCCTACGTTTACAGGCTTGTTTAAAGCTTTCCTGTTGATAGAATAGTGTGATGTCACCTGACAACTTTCTAGATTCCACATCACACTTGAGATGGAGGAGAAAGTGAGACACCCTGACATCACAAATGTTAGCTGACAAGGGCAGGTCAAGCTCATGATCACTACCGCCTTCACCATGTTCCGACATTTCTCACACTACCTAGCTCACTTTATATCTGTCCAGCACAGTACATAGACAAAGTACCATTCGTACTGCATTCGTATCTTGAGTTAATCAATCGAAAACATAAAGCACCGATTAAAGCAATCGTGTTTATTCATATCTCCTGAAGCAAAATGTGTTTATCTGCAGTAAATTTAGCTGTTTGTCCCATATTTTACTTATCCTTCCTTATTTACTATTCGCATGAATTTCAAAGTTAGTCGGCTGTTAACTGAAATGAAATAGTGACGACACTGTTCGAGAGATGAACGAAGGGCGACTGTCAACAGGCTTTCGCTTGCTGAACTTTTCAATCACATACAATAAATCAGAGTTATCCGCCCTTCAATTGTACTTTTGGAGTATAGTAAATTACCTTTTACAAACGTTATTCGAACAGGATATTCATCAAAGCATTCGTAAAATATTACGTGTCTTCATCCAAGACGGTGATCAAAAGTTGATGACATACTATGGTAATCTCATTATCATCATCATTATCATTGTCATTAACCGAAATGAATTATTTTTTGTTTTCTTTGAATGAATTTAGACCATGGATGTTTTTGCTATTGGTGAACTGCATTTGTTATTGTGTTCGTTTGTGTTTTTAAGTACAATCGGACGTGATTTTCTGAATGCTTCATTCAGTGCTTTGTTTTGTTCCTTCAAAGCAACGAGTGATAAATCGGGAGGGTTTGGTTTAAAAGTGTTATATGTGTGCGGCATTTCCCTTCCAATACATTATGATCTACCATCTACTGGTGGAGCCTCGTTTCAGTTTCCCCATCAGTTTCAGTTTCCCCATCCACCCCGGGAGTTGTGGTTGTCTTTAGGACACAGCAGCATGTGTCTCTGTTTTACTGTTGTCAGTTATTACAGTTGGTGGTGATGTAAAGCAGGCATTTTAGGCATCATCTTCGTAGATGTTAGTATCAACTTGATGTAAGCATTACCGACGTTCACAAATACACTTCCATGTCATTCAGATTATTTTCCTTTTTGGGTAATGAGTACAGATCTCGTCTGGAGAGGTTCTACAGCATAAGCATTGTTTGCTTGTTAAGCGATCCACTTTCATCATGTGCTTTTTTTAAAAATCAGTATACCTATTTGAAAAAAAATATATGTGTATCCGCAATGGTAGACGAGACTGTGTTCGCCAGCCATTTCGACATCTGGATACGTATTTTGGTGGAAATATATGACTGGCATGAAGATACACAGCTAAAAAAATACTAATTACTTTGTATTGTCAAACTGTTACTGCTGAGAGGTTGCCGTTGTGGTTTATGATCTTCTATTTGGGGGTTGTTGTTTTACTGTTTTGTTTATTTTTGTCGTTTTTATATAGATCAGTGATATATTCCAAACGCCAGTTCAAAATGTAATTTTATGTTTGAAATGACCGAACGCATTTTTTGTCATCAAAAGGCATAACCACTGTGAGAAACACGACCGACTGTTAATGCATTCGTTTAATGGTTAGTATCTCACTGTTTTATCGTCTTGCAAAGAGTACTAAAATATAGCAGGTGCGTGCTTGACAACAACATAAACTAAGCTAGTCCGCTGATTTTGAACTGACAACAGGTCATTTAAATACATACTTTTGGAGGAGGAACAATGGCATCCAGCGAGAGATGTATGAAAGGAGACTTGTCAGATTTTGCGGTACAGATGAAAAAGTTGGTCAACTCCAAAGAACACAGGTGAGCCTGTCAACATGGTGTTTACAAATAGCGGAGTCGCTACTGTAAACCATACATGCACATAATGCAACTGCATATATTCTGACGACATAATAATGCAGCTACAATAGTGTTACACTCACTTTTAGAGTAACTATGTATTCATTGAATTGTTGTGATCTGAGTAATGAATTACTAGAATCTGGCTGATTGTGGTTGTTGGATAATTGCAAGGGTGCCAGTCAAATCGCCCCAGCTACAAAACGCCCCAGCCAATTTGGTCAAAATGCCCCAGATTTTTGGTCAAATCGCCCCAGGTTTGGTCAAATTGCCCCAGGGGGGTAGTCAAAATGCCCCAATGTAGTTAAATTGGTTAAATATATGCCACAAATGCATAGTTTTTGTCAACTTCCATATTATATTCTATATATAATATTATATAGTGATATTTCTGATAAATTTTCTATTAGTAAACTGATAAGACCAAAAGTAATATTCATGTACATAAACAACACTATAATACCAATTATTTGGTGAAGAATTACAAGAGTAAAATGAAAGGTTTGTATAATATGTTTATTGGCTGTAAATAGTTTTTGGTCAACAAATGGCATTATGTAATCATAACAAGTATTTAAACATATTTATTTCCAAAGAAAGGAACCGGATTGGTAAACAAGCATAAGCTTATATGAATACCGCTCTGGGACACAATGGAAGGAAGAATAAACTCGTCATGATGAATGTACAATGTGAATGATATATAAATGTTGCAAAAACGAGAAATAACGCCTATCATTGTTAAACGGTATATGTCATATAAACAAAATATTTTGGATCAAATCTGCCTGTTAAATTTATAAAAGAGTGCACTGAAATTAAAAGTTCTTTGTGTACTATTGAGGAGCAGCGTTGGTTTCCAAACAAAATTGATTTTAGGTCAAATCCTTTAGTATAAAAATACATAATTTGGCGATATATGGTTGTAAAGAGTACATGAAAAGAACTAGATAGCAGAGTCTTCATAGTTACGGCCACAAGAGCAAGATGATGTCGGAGATATAAATCTTTCATACTTGTGCGCATTAAGGTCACTACAGTCAAGTTGGAGACGAGAATGTATGATTAGACAAAATCTGCTACCGAAATCTAAGTCAAAATGACTGTAGATATTCGAATCGTTCAAAATTACATTTTTGAATCTCGATAGGTGATGGTCAATTAGTGAATATGTTTTTATAGCCTGAAATGTTCATACATTCGAGCCTCAACATTTCCTTTAACTAAACAAAGCATTGAATGTCAATTAGTGAACATGTTTTAATAGCCTGTTTTTATCCACACTTTTTGACAAGTTTAATTAACAAAAACTCTAGATTGTTTTGATAAGCATTATACCATACTTGTTAAGAAAATCTATGCATTTACGGCCTCACCTTTTGACAAGATTAATTAATAATAACAAAAGCTGTAGATTGTTTTGATAAGTATTATACCATACTTGCTGACAAAAACTATGCATTTATGGCCAATAAACATTTTATACAAACATTTCATTTTATTCTTGTAATTCTTTACAAAAGCATTAATAACATGCAAATAATTGGTATTATAGTGTTGTCTATACATGAATATTACTTTTGCTCTCATCAGTTTACTAATAGAAAGTCTATCAGAAATATTACTATATAATATTATACGAAGTATATAATATGGAAGTTGACAAAAACTATGGCATATATTTAATCATTTTAAATACACTGGGGCATTTTGACTACCCCCCTGGGGCAATTTGACCAAACCTGGGGCGATTTGACCAAAAATCTGGGGCATTTTGACCAAATTGGCTGGGGCGTTTTGTAGCTGGGGCGGTTTGACTGGCACCCAATTGCTACACTTTTGGAATTTTTCTAAGTTGTTATGATTTATGTGAAAGCACCTGGATATATCTCATTCTGGAAATATCATGATCAGGGCGCTTTTCTGTGTAATTGTGTATTTGCACTAAAATTATGTCAAATGTAAATCAAAGGTAGAGATTATTACACGTACCAATGCATGAGATTTAACATGAAACCTCCTGATCAGTTATTGAAAATAAATGCTGGATAATCAAATATTCTTTCATGAACATTTTGTTAATCTGCAGAGTCCCAGATATGAATATCAATTATTTATCAATACACAGTCAGTAAAATCTACCATAGTCTAAAAAGACAGGGATAGATGGACACCCCTTCTCACACCCAAAATTCATGGAGTCTAGATCTGGATATGGCTGTCCAGTGTGCCTCTATCTGTTTTTGTCCTTGTGGACTAACAGTAAATGTTACCCTGATGATACTGGTAGGTTAATTTTATACCTAGACCTGGAATATGCTGGACAGGTATGAGTCTAAATTTGCACATTTTTAGAATTGAGTACAAAATGTCTGGTTGGGAATTTTACTGGAGCCCTGCCAAAATGTATTTTCATACATGTGTAAAATGTCCTTGTCATACTTTACAGTGAAGTAAAGACTGAAGTTTTATCTTTATTCAAACATATATAAGTCAGAAGGAATGCATGCATGTTCAGAAAGGTATGTGAACATTACTTGTTGTTATGTAACTATAGAGTTATAGTGAATATTTGTCTTCAGACAATCTATCACCTGACTAACAATAGATGCAGATAGTCTTGTGGGTACCCGGGTCCTACTTTGTACCCATGTGACTCAAGTCCCTGAGATCATGTTATCTTCGCCTAATCTAAATCCTAAGAATATATATCTTGCATTTCTAAAGATATCACTTTGAAATTATCTAAATTATATGATAAAGGATGTCCATGCTAGAGTGATGAGGAATCAACCATTATATGGCAGACTATTCAATTGAGACCAACACTTTGTACCATCAGACAAATGATCATTTAACAACGTATGGTAATGATAATAGTTCTGTTTATTCTTTTGCAGTGATCTAAAGTTCTTACTGGGGTCCAACAGGAAGACAGTGTATGCACATCGATGTATCCTGTCCTCCCGCTGTGCTGTCTTCAAGGCCATGTTTGAGGAGCAAAACCAAAATGCCAAGAATTCTGGTGCTGACAAAGATGTTCCGTTTGTGCTGTCAGACATGTCTCCAGAGATATTCCTCACAATGTTGGAGTTTATATACACCAATTGTGTCCACCTATCATCCAAAAATGTGAGTCACAAAAACAATACGTGTGTATCTTGTTTCCTTTTTGTGTAAAGCTATCACTGTAAGGTGTATTGTTTTAATTCGTACTATAGTGCATTATATAAGTAATTCAAAACATCACTTCAGTGTACACAAACACATAAATAGTTGAACACAAAAACTGACGACAGACAAATTGACCCTTTCTCTCAACCGAAGTTAAAGAACACCTCTATCTCTCATATGACCTGATTTATTCATGGCCTTGGCAGATGAACTATAATTTTATGAAAATAATGGGTGTTTTTTCATTTCTTTTGTGTACTAGTATATTTCAAGATTCACCTGTAACTTTGAAATCCAATCATCATCCTGATCATTTAGCATCTGTCACCGTTAATTTAATTTACTGTCAGCTATGGGTTAATATACAGGACAAACTTCAGTAACACCTTGTCTGAGTCCTGTTTATGTTATTCAGGCAATAGACGTCCTGGCCACAGCTCTGGAATATGGACTTGATGATCTCAAGAAGGTAACATTATTTAATCATTCAAATTCTTTGTACATAACACAAGACAGATTTAGTTTCAGAAATACCATGTATATGCTTGGTGCTAAACGTGCTGGATAACATCAGTGATCTGGGTTTGATTCAACCATGTTTCCCTACTGTGGTATGGCTTCTATATTCCTGAAGGTGGTGAGACTCATAGAGTTTCACACAAGTATCAATCTGAAATTCCACATCATCCATGCCAAACCTTCAGTCAGATGTCCAATGACATATATTCAATATGTACCTTTATTGGCTTATGTTCAATGGCATATCTACATTGACATGTATTTATTGGAATATTTCAAATTGTTGTCTACAATGGCTTGTCTTCAATGCAGTTCTTCATATTTATCTCTGCTTGTGTTTCAGTTGTGCTCCCAGTACTTGGTAGAAAACCTGACAGTGGGCAATGCATGTGACGTGTTGCAGGCTGCGGTCACATACGGTCAAGATGACCTCAAGAACAAGACTGTAGAGTTCATAGAGCAAAATACTGTTGTGAGTAGCAGCGATCAAACCACATTCATATACATACACATGGCAGTTAACAACCCTGTCCTGGGGTTTTAAGGACACATTTAAATATTTTTCAAATTTTGATGAAATATTGAGACAAAAGTGAGGCATGAGGCATTTTTCACTTTTCTCAGTATTATTCAAGGGGCATGCTGGTTGGTAAATCTTATCTACATTTTGTATTTTAAACTTGGTTCATGTAAAGTGTCAGCTGTTTCAAGTTACAGGCATTTGTTTCAGAATGTGTTCAAGTCGAAGGGTTTCCAGGAGATTGGTGAGGAGGCAATGTCGGCGGTGCTGTGCAGCCACCTGCTTCAGATGGACGAGATGGACCTGTACAGAGCAGTCAAGGAGTGGGCCACTGTCAACGCTGTGAGTGCTCTTCTATGTCTCTTCACCCATGTCAGCATGGAAAGGGTTGATTTGGAACACACAAATAAAAAATGGAAATGTCCATACCCTTTTATCAGATACATGTCAGAATACTTGTACATTATTACTAATAATCATTTTTGGTATATCTGTATGCCAGATTGCCTGACATTAATTCCCAGTTAAAAACCCTGATAATGCTGTGTGCAATGTTAGCCAGGTCTCAACAAAAAACAAACTGTTAAGCATGTCTTTTGGATTATTTTTCTAAAGGTATTTTGTTTTGAATAAATCTCAGAATACATATACGATAAACCATAGAATTGAATAAATCCAGTTTTACAATGCATTTCCCAGTGCTTGACATTTCCGCATATCTGTTTGTTTTGTATACATGCTGTCATACAGCTGAGTCGAGAGATTACAGCAATGTTGTTTTCATGGTCAATGTACACGTTAACACATTATCTGTACATGCCTGCGTCTTCAACACGTCCTTGTGTCCATCTCAGGTTGTGATGGCGAAGCCAGTAGCTGACATTGGTAAAGCTGTTGTTAAGTACATCCGACTGCCTCTGCTGTCTCCTGAGGAACTCTCCACCTTGGAGACAGAGAACAAGAAGGATGGATTCATTCCAGTGAGTAGTTTGGCACCCCCTGAATAATCAAAGGCTATTACCCAGTAAGTCAGGTGTAGTTCAGTTACATGCCTACAATGTTTCAGTCATATGCCTACAGTGTTTCAGTCGCATGCCAGCAATGTTTCAGTTACATGCCTACAGTGTATTGGTCACATGCCTACAATGTTTCAGTAACATGCCTACAATGTTTCAGTCACATGCCTACAATGTTTCAGTTACATGCCTACAATGTCTCAGTCACATGCCTACAATGTTTCAGCTACATTCCGGTAATGTTTCAGTTACATGCCTATGATGTTTCAGTCACATGCCTGCAATGTTACAGTTACATGCCTACACTGTTTCAGTCACATGCCTACCATGTTTCGGTCACATGCCTTCAATGTTTCAGTCGCATGCCTACAATGTTTCAGTCACATGCCGGTAATGTTTCAGTTACATCCCTATAATGTTTCAGTCACATGCCTATAATGTTTCAGTTACATGCCTACCATGTTTCAGTCATGCCTTCGATGTTTTAGTTACATGCCTTCCATGTTTCAGTCACCAGCATTCAATGTTTCGGTCACACGCCTACATTGTTTCAGTCACACCCCTACAATGTTTCAGTTACATGCCTATAATGTTTCAGTTACATGCCTACAATGTTTCAGTCACACCCCTACAATGTTTCAGTCACATGCCTACAATGTTTCAGCCACATACCTACAATGTTTCAGTCACACCCCTACAATGTTTCAGTCACATGCCAGTAATGTTTCAGTTACATGCCTATAATGTTTCAGTCACATGCCGGCAATGTTTCAGTCACATGCCTACCATGTTTCAGTCACACCCCTACAATGTTTCAGTCACACCCCTACAATGTTTCAGTCACATGCCTACAATGTTTCAGTCACATGCCGGTAATGTTTCAGTTACATGCCTATAATGTTTCAGTCACATGCCTACAATGTTTCAGCCACATGCCTACCATGTTTCAGTCACATGCATTCAATGTTTCGGTCAGACGCCTACATTGTTTCAGTCACACCCCTACAATGTTTCAGTAACATGCCTGGGGCGGTTGGGTAGCCTAGTGGTTAAAGCGTTGGCTCGTCACGCCGAAGACCCGGGTTCGAATCCCCACATGGGTACAATGTGTGAAGCCCATTTCTGGTGTCCCCCGCCGTGATGTTGCTGGAATATTGCTTAAAGCGGCGTAAAACCAAACTCAGTCAGTCAGTCAGTTACATGCCTATAATGTTTCAGTCGCATGCCTACAATGTTTCCGTTGCATGGCTACAATATTTCTGTTACATGCCTACACTGTTTCAGTTACATGCCTACACTGTTTCAGTTACATGCCTACACTGTTTCAGTTACATGCCTACACTGTTTCAGTCACATGCCTACACTGTTTCAGTCACATGCCTACAATTTTGTCCAGCCTTACATGTACATGGTGGTGTGTGCAATCCCCGGCCTATTAAGGAAAGTGAAACGTGACATTAGTACAAGCAAATTGGACTCTGTGCAACTAAACAATATATATATGCTCTGAGACACCTTGCTCTCCTAGCTCTGACAAATGTACCCTTGTATCCCAAAATGTTCTGTGGTGCATGCTTCATGTTGTAA